TTAAATATGTAATAATGTGTTATTTAATCGAATTATGTTTCAAATAATCAGAGATTTCTTTTAGTTACTACTTTAATTTCAAGAAAATAAGTAGTGACTATAAGAGAATTTTAAATTCCTAACAAACTAGAGATGATATAGAAATTGCTGACAAATTTAATTTATTGAAAAGCCAATAAATAATTATACAGAAAAATTTTCAGAAAATTAATCATTCTTTTATGAAAGATATTTTTTTCTACTTGTAATTTTTTAATGTAAAAAGTTCTTTTCAAAGAATTTTTTGATTTTTGAAAAAGGGGATTCATACATATAAACACGAGGGTTGTCCATAAAATGAAGTTCCCAACGAATTTTCACAAAGAAAAACATGTTTACTGGCATTGAATAATACATGTTTGGAAAGCTTAGACTACCCTCTATTTTTGTGGCATAATCGCCGTTTAGATCAATGCATTTTTGCATGCGGTGTACCATCTTCTTTATGCCTGAGTCGTAGAACTCTGCCGTTGCTCTGCGAAGATAGCTTAAAACCTCTTCTTTCAGCTCTTCTTCAGTTGTGAAATGCGTCCCTCCCCAAGCGTTTCTTCAATTCAGGGAAGAGATGGTAATCACTGGGGGTCAAGTCTGGGCTGTAAGGGGTGTGTGTGACAGTATTCCATCCAATCTGTTGATGAGATCAGTTGTGACACGGGCGGTCATGGGTGCAAGTTGGAAAAAATGCCAAGACAGAAAATTTTTTGACTGAAATACCTAACATACACAATACCCCCTCGACATATGCAAACTATCAAAGAAAGCTTTATCATAATACATCAAGTTTAAATACTGTACAAAAAATATTTATTCATCTGTCTTTTGATAAAATAACAACAGGACATAAGAAAGTAGACCAATAATGTAGACCTAAAAAATATTTTTAAGGACAGAAAAAAAAATTTCCGATTTCCGTCTTCGAGTCAGTCTTGTTTCCGTCTTACTTCCGTCCGCGGACATTTTCGAAAGACGGAAATCCGTCCTGAGGACGGAAGATTTGCACCCATGCGGGTGGTGTGCGGACTAGCGTTGTACTGATGGAGACGCACTCTATTTGCGAGCATGCCTCTCCTCTCGCTTTGAATCGAGCGGCGAAGGTTCTTCAACGTCTGACAGTAGCAATCCGCATTAATTGTTGTGCCGATAGGCAGGAATTCGCACAACAACAGCCCTTCCCTGTCCCAAAAGACACTCGCCATCACTTTGCCAGCAGACAGAATTTGCTTTAACTTCTTCGGCGAGCCTGGATGTTTCCACTGACGGGATTGTTCTTTTGTTTCTGGTGTCATGTAGTGGACCCTGGTATCGTCTCTAGTGACGACAGAGTCAAAAAATTCCTCGCTATCGGTTTCGTAGGCATGAAGAAATTCGCGGGCTGCTTCCACACGTTACCGTTTGTTGTCATCCGTCAGCATTTTCGGGACCCACTTACACAAACCTAGGCATATCCTATGCGGTTTCTCAAAATGTTGTGAATGCAGGACTTGCTGACATCAGGGATCATCTCGCTGAGGTCCCGAACCGTCACCCTTCGATCAATCAGCATTGCTTCTTCCACTTTCGCAATTGTTTCGTCCAAAAACGATGGCCGGCCAGACCATTGTTAGTCATGGACGTCCGTCTTTGAATTCTCTGCACCATTATGTTGCACACTCATACACTCATCTCCGTACACTTCACACAATTGGGAATGAATGTCCACCGGAGGAACGTTTTTCGCACACACAAAACAAATCACAGTGTAATTCGCACCTGGCGTGAAATACAAATGGAAGCTCCATCATGTCCGCTCGCCGGGACGGGAACTGGGTGAAAGGGAGCCAAGCTACACATCAGTCTCGCCAAATCCCGCTTAACAGCGCCTAGTGTCCGCAGCTCCTCGGGAACCTTATTTTATGGACAACCATCGTATATAATTTTTTTTTCAAGAGTTAGGAGATGCTACAAAAATCAGGGAGTTTCTCTAAAAATAGGATCATCCAATCGAATCTTGTTTTAATAATTTTGTTTTACCTTTTAAGCACTTTAAAAGAATTTCAGAAAAAAATTGTGAGTGAAAATGAATGTCTTAGATAGTAATAGTCTAATTATCATGTAGATAGCAGTAATAAATATAATTTCATAGGTTAGACAGCATATTGTATTGAATGGTTCAACATTAATAGCAGAGTAAATTGTCAAAACTATAATTTGGATATTAAGTATGTAGGTAAATCATAATGTACGATTGCAATTTTGTAAGTAAAGTATATATGATAGTAAAATCTGTTTAATAGTAATGATAGTAAAATCCGTATAGTAAACTGAGTTGAAGTTAGATCCAATTAGCAAGGATTATCAGACAAGAGTGCAAACACCTCATGTAATTTTTTAATCACAATATATATTTAAATATTAATTATACCACTATCTATTAGAAATATGAATTTTTTATAATGAAAACATTTGAAAGTAAAACAATCAAACTTGTAGTATAAGGCAACTGAAAAATTAACTTTATTCACATTTGCAAAGAAACAGAATGTAAACAGTATTCAATGCAGTCAAGTATGAAGCACAGAAGCAAGATAAAATGTATACCACAACAATGTGGAAAAATCAGGTCAAAACAAATAGTTAAAAAAAAAAAAAAAACAACTAGGTGAAGTAATGAATCTTAAATCTTCTTAAAGGAAACCACAATGTCTACTTTGGAAGTTCTGTTAATATGAACTCTGATAAGGGATTTGCTATTCTAAGAGAATATAAGTGAATGTGATTAAATTTAGCCTATTAGCAATAAATTTACACATAATAAGTTAAAGGGCAATGATAGAAACTAAACACTTCTACAGTAATAAAATGAAAATAACAAATAATTAAGCATTAAAGACATTAAAGTTAACGTGACATGTGATTTTCAAATCAAAGAAACCTGACATATTAAACTAAGATGAAATCCATATACACAGATTCATATTTCAGAGAAAAAAAAGCCACAAAAATTCCCAACTGTAAGATAAGGTTAACCAGACTGGTTAGAAATTGAATTAACTGAGCTAATAAGTAAGAAACATACTTTCTACTAAAATTTTGTTTAAAGTTACCGATGGCCTATTTTGTTCATATGTGCCTATTTTCAATATAAATGCAATAAAAATGTAAAAAAATATTTTCAAATCAGTTTTTTTGTTATGTTTTGTAAGAAGTATTGTGTTCTGTTTCTAAAATAAAAAATACAAAAAAAAATTTTTAATCAATTTTTGTTAAAACAATTGGTTTGGTATTAACATACACTTTTATTAACCAAGAAACTCATCTTTAATGATATTTAAATTAGTGATAGTATTAGAAAAATTAAAGTCATTTCAAAGAAAATATTTGTATTTAGTTTACAACAGTTAATCATACTTCTATAAAATGTTAAGCCAGCAAACAGAAATAATAAAAACAGAATTACATTTAATAATTTGCTGAACACAAATTTAGTATTGAAGTAATACACAAACAGTATACTTTTCTGTAATTATGTTTGAATTTTATTCATTATGATCAACTTTAAATAATACAAATGCAATTCTTTATTTTTAATTTTGTATTTATTTAATATTCATATTAATTTAGTTAAAATAATTCAGTTTAAGTACTGCTCAAGAGTAAAATATGTTGTCCATACACCAGTTATTTCAGCTTGATTTTTAAGAAAGCAATGAAAAACAAGGATTTATAAAACTACAATATTTATAAATAGTTTTAAGGTTACCGTAAATTTAAATAAGTGTGTCGAACATAAATCTGTGTTACATGGCACTAGATACCCTGTAAAATTGACCGGGTCTGAGTAATAACTAGGTAATGAAAATCTGACCTATAGTAGGGCTGGTATCCAGTTTATTCCTAGAATTAATATGTATTTTTATAAATCGTAGGTTTTTGTCCTGACATCTTAAGGTAAAATAAAATTGTGAAAATAACGAATATCAGGTACTTTGTTTAAAAATCAAACAAGCTTCAGACTTTAAATTTGAAAAGTTTTCATTAAATTCTCCAACTCCATCTGCCTGAAGTATAAAAGCATTTGATTTGTTACATGATGTGTGTGGTCATTCCTGACAGATCAGGTTTTAACATGAGAGGAAAATAAAAATCAGATTGGAATGTTACATCTGTAACTTTCAGAAATAGAAATTTTTCTGAAAGGGCAGCACTTTTTGTAGTCATAAGAATATAAGGAAGGTGCATTAAATCTGAACAATAGCAATTCTTACATTAGTGAAAAGGAATAAGTACAAAATCAAAAGCAAGTCTTCTGTTAGAAAAGACATAAGAAATAGCAGAAGATTATAAAATAAGAATATTTTTCAGTATTTGAAAACCATTGTATCATAATGAAGGGAGAAAATAACATTGGATTTTTAAAAAAAAATTTTTACAGGTATTTATTGCTTTAGAGAATATCAGAATATTGTGCGGCGGATAACATTAATTCAATACAAGTTCATTTGAAACATGAAATACTATTGTAGCGAGAGTTCACTATATTTAGGAGTAAGTAATCGAGATCAAAGGGCATGCGGTGCACCCCACAAACTACACCTAGAATGAACCCAACATATTCAGCAGCATGAGCAAGTTCTTACATAAGTAATAGATTAAACGTAAATATCTTGATCTTTCCAAAAAATAAGTAAAAGACATAATTTAAACCTTTTGCTTTAATTCTAAAAATAAGTGCATAATTTCTAATTTTTTACAGCAAAATGTGTGCTACTTAAACATTAAAAAATACTTCTTCCCTCTAATCGAACAGAATATAAGTATACATAACAATTGGGTTCAGAAAAATAAAACTAAAAGCTTTTGTTCAGCAACATAAATTGAAAACATGCTATTTTTTTCCTTATATCTGAACATAATTGCATGAGTGGTGGACAGCAAATCTTTTTTCTAAATTATAGTGGGTTAAAGTGCCAGTATTCACGTACTTGTCTTACACTGTGTTTCTGTAGATAACTGTTTCTTGTCTGGAGGCATGTCAAACTGTGTATTGTTGTTCCCTACTAGAAACGAAACTTGTTATTGAAACAAATAGAAACATAACTTAAAGAAAAGCTACCACTCTTGGAAAAAAATACATACAATTTTTTTTTTAAATAACGAAGAAATGCCATATCTGGTGACAACAAAGCACAAAAAAAAAAAAAAACATAAACCTTAAAATATAAAAATATAGTTCAGTTTATTACATAAAATTTATTTTTGGAACTGCAACAAGCAGGTGTTTTTGCTATCAAATCTAAGTGTTCTGTGTGTAAAGGGGAAGTTAAAATATTTTGTTCCCAGGTATTAATTTAGAACAAAACTGTGTCAATTTCTAATAAACCAACATTGCATAGTTTTTTTTTTTTTAATTTCAAAAACCGACATTTGTTTAGAAACATAGAGAGGGTGAGAAGAAAGAGCAAGAAATATACATAAGGTAAAAAGAAACTTGCCCAGAAGTTCAAGTTGTCTCTGAAAAATAGACAAGACATAATTTTACATTTTATGATGTAGCAATGTTAAGCACAAACTGTTATTTTCAGGCAGCCTCAAACTCTAATTAAACCTGGTTTGCCCTATGCAGGGAAAAGGATTTTTCTACTCAACACATGATTGCTAGAGGAATAGATACGCCAAATTTAAATAGAATCGGATGAACTTCTTTCCTGCCTACCTAGTTTGAGGATTGACTGAAATGTACACAATGAAGAAAGCTCCACCTATCACACATAATCTATTATTAGAATCAACAAGTTTGAGGGAAGATATTTTACGATTACATGAAATGAAATGTTGAAAGTTTCATTACATAGGATGTGAATTCAACAATTAAATTAAATTAAAAATTTAATAAAAAATATTCCACCTTAAAACTAAATAGACTTAAAAAGCATTGATGAGGTGAAAGTGTTAATGAAAGAGCCCTCATGTGAAGATTATTTTTAAAAGAAATTTTCCGCAATTAAAATTTATTTTTTCTAATATAGAAGTGGGAATTAGAAAGTGATTTATTTACTAGTAATCAGGAGCAAAGTGAAATGATCTGTAACATTAACAATTTATACTACCATGAAGTTTTCAATAAATACCCAGTTAAGGCTCGATATAATGACCCCTGTTGGTCAAACATAAATGAATGTGCAGATGTGCAAAATAGTGGAAAAGTTAGTTTAGAGCCCCATGGCAGAATCACGGCAACATTGTCGCAGAATGTTACAGAGTTCTTGCAGAAAGAATTGTTGCAGAAAGTAAAAAAATTTAGATTTCTTTTCTACAAAAATGTTCTACATTTTTTCCCAATAAAATTATTTTTAAAAGATCTCTTTTTCGCACATCGAAGGGGAAAGAAATGTTCGTAATTTTTCCAATCTCATTTGAGAAAAATAAAGAATATTGAAGCAAAAAACTTCTTCTCTGTAGAAATGTCTGAAACACACATTCACAATTATATTCAAAAGACGCATTTTGCACGCATCAGAGGGGAAGTAATGCTTGATTTTTTAATTCTTATTCGGGAAAAATAAAAATGAAAATATTTTCGTTTTCTTTTACAGATTTTACGATTTTTAATTATTTTTTTATGTGATGAAGAATTACGAAATGCGACAAAAAGAAATAATTAGTGTGTTTTCCTCTTGCAAAATGTGATAATATCACCCATGAAATTGGAATAAAAAAATATTACATATTCATTTTTTAAAAAAATACATACAATTTTATTATATCCAAATAGTTTTTTTTCTTTTCTCTTGTAAATGAAACATTTCTGCTACTTTAAATTTAATTAATAACATGAATATTAGTTATTATTAAAAGTATCTTGCAGAAAGATATTAGTGCTGGAGAAGTTTGTCGCAGAAAGCACAAAAAAATTCTGCCGCAGGGGTTTAGAGAATCAAGGAACTGGCCACAACAACCTTAACATTAGCTCGAACTTGATTTTAATTAAAATTATGGCTCTAAAAATTTCTTAGAAATTTTATATCAAATGGCTTTTTCACAATGGAAGCTTACTTTTTCAAAGTACACAAAAATGTATAACACTTGAAAAGATTTTCTTAGGGGAAAAAAAAATTAAATTTTAACAGCAAATGGGTCTTAGCTTCATAGTGGGCGGAGGAAAACAAATCAACATAAAAAAAATAATAAATAAATAAATAGGCAGGATATTTTTTAAACAATATACATATAACAGACTACTTTCAAAAACAGCAAAAGTGTAATTTAAAAAAGTTTGCTCTATTTAAGTGAAAAAAGGACATTTTATTGCAAAAGAACCATAGGGTATGGTATTTTTTAAATTTCATAATTACTTTTCTCAGAACAGAAAAATAACAGTTACCAATATAATTTATTAATGGAGAACTGAACTACATTTATAATAGTTTGAAATCAACATATAGAAATTTTTTTTAGTACTGATGGATTAAAAAAATAAGCAGCATCAATTAGTTATTATTTCCTAAAATCAATATTTAATTAAAATTTGTAATGAAGTTCCAGATTTCTGTAATCATATTTTAAAGTAGGGAATTCGAATATGCTGCTTAACATTTTTCAACAAAATTAATTAACTTAGTGGATGATCCCTCAATTTACCATTTAAAAAAATCTATGAATGATTGTCGGACATTTCCAAATATAAGCCCATCCATGTATAAGCAGGAGTGTACGATTTTAATTTGGAAATTCACCCCTAATTTAAAACTCTCATATAAGCCGATGTAACAAAATAAGGCATGCTACACTTGGAAATAAAAATGTGCCCTCTCTCTTTTGATAAGGTAGATCTAATAACAGTTGTACAGTGGGTAAAAGAAGCATAGACCTTCTAAATTCATAATTAGAAGATTAAAAAGCAGTATTCTTTTAACAATATTTTCTTCATGTGTTTCTTTTTTCAATTTTTATATAAAGGCATTCCTTTTCAACTACTATTTTATGTATTTTTATGTTTTGTATACACATTTCACTATATTTACAATTGACAAAAAGAGAAGTATTTTTGCTGGAATTTTTTAAAGTTATTTTATCCCATTATAAGATGACCACCAAACTTTTTTCAAAACTTTTCTAAAACTTCTCGGGATATATTTCGAAATATACGGTATTTTACTACATTTCAAACCAGGTGAAAGTCAGGAATCAATAATAGAGGAACTCCACCCAAAAATATTTTATTACAACAATTGCGGAACAAATATGCAACAAATAATTATAGAAATATATGGCTTCTGAATTTATCATCAATTCATATCAAGTTTAAATAACTTACTTTTTCAAAATTCAATTTTAAAGGAACTATAAGACAGATTTCATTCAAATTTTGTATTTTGCCATATCAAATTAAATTTTTTTAAATGATGTTTACATTTTTATATCTTACAATTCAAAATTTTTCCACTATTATTCAATAAAATAAATAGTTGTTAATTTTTTTTTTCTTCAATTTCCTTAAAAAAATTCCTGAGATAACAAAATATGCAAGAAGTAAAATTAACATTAAGGGATTAAAAATAAAATTCACAAGGATTTTCTGAGAATTTTATTCTTGTTAAAGCAGTTGCATCCAAACATAAAAATTGCCAAATCTAAGTTTGCTGTACTACGACCTATCCTTATTTTATGCGTAGATAAAACACCACATGTGCATGTAGTATGTGCTATTTATGAAAATGTGAATTTACAATTAAAATCACACAGTTGTTTGCCTGATATTACAGTTGATTTACTTGACATAGAATTACTAAATATAGCCACTTGTGGTAATTGCTCAAGTGATTGTATGAAAAATATGAGTGAAAAACTTAAGAATTTTTCTTTTTAAGCAGTTTGTAAAAACAATTTTTTATCATTAGTTACAAGAGCCTGTAAAGTGGTATCAGTGGAACAAAAATAACAGTAGCAAAGAATGTGCGATTTTTTAATTGAGGCACAGTGTCCGATGTAATTGATCAGTTTGAGGACCAATTAGAAAAATTTATATTACACTGCTAGGAAAAATCAACATAATCTGAGTATTTATTTTAAGCAGCTTAGGCAGAATCCTATTAAGTGTGTTTTACAAGTAAACTTTAGTGAGAACTTAATAATCTTCACTCAATACACTCACTTCACACTTTCTCAAATAATTATTTCTTCAATAAAAGATGTCTCATATGTCAGATTTTATAGTAGTGCTGTGAACTCTAACTTTAAACAAACGAGTATCACTTTTGACAGTGATATTTCCTCTTAACTATTTGTCAAATTTGTTACATTTCATGTGCTCTCTGTTATGATGCATTATTTGGACTAAATAAAATGTGTTTGCAATTTTAAATCTCTTATGATAATTTATTTTACTTTGAAATGTGATATATTTTTAAAAATTATAGCAGTTCATGTCAAAAATGTGGGATTTAATTTATCCCCTCTGTTACATATACTTTTAAATAACTTGCATGAGGCTTTTCTACTCTTTTATGCCAATTAATTAAACATTGCACCTTAAAGTAGGATATTCTTGCAGAATTTCGTGTTTAAGATTTAGTGATGATCCTATCATAATTTCAGTTCCTTTGATCATAGTTAAGTAATTTTTTCTGCTCTTTACATATGGTTTTTCAAATTCTGACATTTTTTATAAAATATTATTACTTTTGAAGTTGTTTATCATTTTTTATCTTTTTTCACATAGTTTTCTAAATTTTGATATTTATAATAGGATATCATTAAGACAGGCAAATTTTGATTTTGAGTACCGTATATTCCGGCGCATGACGCGCACCCGTAATTTCTAATAACTTATTTTAAATTTTAAGATATACTCTTCGTATAACACGCACGAAAATTTGGATTGTACATGTGCAATATCTCGTCTAGTATCTATAGAAAACCAGAAAGCCTTTTAGTGTGGGACATGTCTTGGTCCCACCTTACAGATAATAAATTTTTTGAAAAAATGTAACACCGATATGGCAGTTATTCCGGGCGGATTGACACCATTTCTTCAGCCATTGGATGTCTGCTTAAACAA